TCTTACTGCTGGTGCTGGTGGTGCTGGTGCTGCTGCCGGTGCTGCTGCCTGCTGCTTCCCTTGGTGCGGGGGAAACGATTATCTCGCAGCATCCCCATCGCGCAGGACCGATCCGTGGCGGCGCGAGCGCCGAGTCGAACGAAGATGCCGAAAAAGGGAGTGAGCCAAGCGGACGAAAGAGGGCGCTGGTTGAACAGAGACCGTACATCCTTTCCTAACCAGTCGAAGGGTGTATGCTCGAGCATGGAACGAATAGAGAGAGAGAGAGAGAAAGAGATCAAAGCCGGATGCTTTGAGGGATACGGGAAGGACAAGGATAGGAAGAGGAAGTAACGAGACGGTAGGAATGGATGATGTGGATTAAAGAACGACGGGAACGAGGTGAAGGACAAAAAACAAGGCGGCGGGGGGGAAGGGGAGAGGAAAGGGAGATCGTAAGGTAAGGTCGTCGTCGCGAGGAAGCGATTTTTAATCGGCACGCGTCATTCGTATCGACGAATTTTTCCTCGAGAAAGAAAAAAGGAAAGAGAGTCGCAAGAAATGAGGAAAGGAAAACGGTGGGGAGGACGGGAGAGGGAGAGGGAGATCGTAACCGATACGACGCCACAACGATTCGAACACAAGTGTGTATTAATTGGACAAAAATTCATTTTTAAATAATGTAAAAAATAATTGTTTCGATGTAACAGATTAAACAAAATAGATATACATAGGCAAAGAGAACTAATACGGATAACTGATCGGTCGCATTTCAATAAGTTGAGAAACATTTAAAATTTCAATTTTGTAACGGATATAATATCTCGAAACATCTGTTTTAATTTAAAATCATTATAAATTATCGATAAGTTTCTTTGTTTCTTTTTTTTTTTTTTTGTAAATTAAACTTAAAATTCAAATAATTATTTTAAATATTAAAAATTCATGTTCACGATTCGTTTACACAACAAAAGTCGAATGTACGAAAAATAAAAACTTTCTTTCTACTTCTTTTTTTACCACTAAATTTAATTTGCAAAACTTTGCGAAACTATATTAACGGGCATGTACGGGAACAATTGAATGCTCGCCACCTAGCGATTCTTTAATCTAACCATTCATATTTATAAATTAATTTTAACCTATCTTACATTATAATATATATATAATAATATTATTAATAATAATATTTTTAATTTTATTCTATTATTATTATTTATTATTGACAATTTTTTTATTCCTTTCAATCTTTGAGCAGTATATCTTTTTACAGTGTTTTTTTCAATTTTATAATTTTCAATTTCATCGTTGTTTCGTTAAATTATCACTGTTTAGGCCCATATCTATCGGATAATTTATAGGAAAGGATTGTCGAGAATAAAAAATAGCCATAACTTCTTTTTTTAATTTTTTCTTTAATATCTGTTTTTTTAGAATATCATTCCATTTCTCAAGGTCCAATTTATCGTACGTTGTCAAATTCGAAGCGCTTTCCAAGTTAATTGCTACAACTTTTTCGCGCGTTTTTACTCCAGAATTCAAATCACAAATATTTGTATATTTATATATTTTTTATATATCTTATTATTATGTATTTTCTTTTTATATATATCTTTTTATATATTCTTTTATATATATTTAGTCATATTTTTATGCTATATAAACATTTTTAACGAAATGATAAATTATATAATGAAAAGCAATATCGTTTTCAAAAAATTAAATAAGTTCAAAATCGAAGAAAAAAATAATTATATCTAGTTAGCTCCTATTATTCAAAACAGTTGTGCGATGCGAAAAAAGAAAAAAAGTAGCAAACGAACTACTGACGCTTGAAAAATTCCAAGGGGAAGGGAGGAGACAAGATTCGAATCGTATATCTCGTATTACGTAATACTTTACGTTTTCGAACGGAAGAAGCGTATGCGGCTATTTAAGACACTCTTATATTTGTCCCAATATTTCCAAAGAACGGTTATAGCGCGCGATTTCTTTCGTATCGGCGTCTACCCACGCAAAATAAATGGATTGTCACGTGATAAATATCGGGGGAGGAGGAAGATGAGCAGAAGCAAAATACTCGTCTTTACTTTCGAATCTATTTTCCACGAGTATCCTCGAATGGAATACGAATACGTGATTGTTCGACTTCTTCCCATGCCTCGCTATTGGTAAGTAAAACCGAAGTAGATAGTTGTACACGAGAGCGTGGTTGACACACAAAGAAGAAGGAAGACACGAGGTCGTAAAAAAATCGCATAAAATCCCCCTTACTCTCGAGATCAAAAGAGACAGCCATTTCTGGAGGAGGGGAGGGGGGCATATAAGAGGGTGAATTATATATTCCAGGGGCAAAATCGTAATAACATTTCAAAACGTAATAACATTTACGAATAATTGTAATATATGGGCATACGAGATTATACGAGAAGTGAATCGACTATAATATTCATAACGAATAAATATTATTCCAAGCATTTTAATAAGTAATTACTTAAAGTAGCTTTATTCAAAATTTTTAACTAGTTACTTAATACTTTTTACTTTTTGGTCTAACTCTATCCAAGGAAACGATGACTGGCCAATAAGCCTAATGTAGCGCGCGATAAGTCACGCCTGTATAATAGGATCCAGCTGCGCCAAACGGCGCATGAGCAAACTTTTGCACGCGTCGTATCTTGCACGAGCGCGAGTCACGTATCTTTCGCGTCGATTCTCTCTTAATGAGAGGATTAGAAAGAAAATTCAACGCGAGGAATGTTGACAAAATTTGTAAAATATGTAATCTGCGAAACATTCAGGGGGATATAGTTAAGATCAATGATACTAGAGGTCGGTCTCCTTCTTTTCGGTGTGATTTTATTTCGTTGACAGGAATTGGAATGCAATTAAAGCGGATAGAGTTTTTTTGCGCGCGCGAGAAATGGATCCGCCTTTAACCTTTTTTTTTTTAGGGAAAAAATTCCCAAAAAATATCGATTCGACTCGAGAATACGAGAAGCGAAATTATACAGAAGTAAATCTTCGTGTAGTTAGTATATCAATACGGTTGAAATTCATTCGTATATTACGATATCGAGTAATCCATCTTTTCGTTTGAACGAACGTTAAATGCACGTTTCATAAATTTTCATTCATAAAATTTATTTTAAATTTTATTTTTAAAATTTTATTTATTTATTTTAAAAATTCCCTCCTTTTCGAAAAGATGGTAAATGTACACGCTCTATGATAGACGGACGGGGAAAAAATAATAAACTACCTCCGAGCGAAACGTCAACGTCGTAACGAAATTTGTACACGAATACATCGAACTTTCACGATGAATAACTTGGAAACGAATGTGTCGCGACCATGTATCATTCCATCAATGTTATAAATCCAGAGACATTCGTCCAGAGAACATTCCCTACCTCTCGACTTGAAACTCTAAATGATATAACTTATAACGAATCTTTTCACGATCATTGCAAGATGGATGATCAAAATTATTGGTGGCGCACAGTAATTCGAATAATATATATTAATTAGAAAAAATTCATTTTCAAATTTATAAAAAAATAATTGTTTCTTATACGTTGAAATTTTAAATCCATATATCGTATATATCGATTATTATGTATCTTCTTTTTTTTATTCTATATTAATTAAATGCAACGTTAATCTTTTCATATATGTATATATATATACATAGATTTAGTTATATTTTTATATGCACATTTTAAAGGAGACAATAAATCATATAATAAAAAGCAGAGTATCGTTTTCTAAAAAATTAAATAAAACTTCGTATAACCTCAAAATCGGGGGAAAAAAAAAAAATTTTCTTCAGTTTCTTTTACCGTTCGAAATTCACTGTGCGGTTATGCTAAATACATTGAATTCTCTCTCAACTGGAACGTATACGAGTCTGTAGTAATTGATCAGAGTCGGACCGGATTGATCCTATCCGGTCACCGTGGTTCGACGAACCTTGCCGCAAACGAGAACCGCGGAAAATTTATCGATCGTTTCGATGCTTCGCTTCGAAAACAACGAAAGGTTTCAAAAAGGCCCTTTACATTTTCGCATCCATCGATTCGAACGACCTTGTCTTCTTTACTCCTTGGCATCGTGAAATTATGTAGCTGAATACGTACTCGTTAGACGCACCCTTGAGAATTAGAAGAACTAGTCTCTCTCTTTTTCTCTCTCGCTCATTCGCTCGCTTTTTCTTTCTCGCTCG